AAGTTCCTACGTGTTGACTGAAACATTGGAAGTGATATAATTTTAATTGTTTGCTTTTCATATCTTTTTTAATTTTGTATCTTTAATAACACTATGTGACAAATTTATTTTATTTTTTTTATCTATAAAAATCATCTAGTTGTGATATAAGTTGCTTGTCATACAATGTAATTATTTGTTTAATTATGTTGTTTTTAATATTAGTGCATTGAATGCATACTTTTCTTTACAAAAAGCTGACGTAGTGCTCAGATGTATTAAGTACAAAATATAATGCAAATTTACTATAGGTATTATGTAATTTTAAGTTACAAACTTTGTGTTGCTCGAGATGAAATTTCCGGTATCTTTTGAATGGTTGATGTAGCTTTGGTTACTGTTTGCAGTGTACGGAAATCAATTTGTAACCCGCATCAAGACTAGCGGTATTTAAAGGTTCACGCTTCACTAACGTTTTTAATGATATAAATAGCATTAAGATAGTGATAGTGAACATGTAAGCATAGATACAAGAAAAGAAAAGAGAATGAATGCGAGAAGATTTTTTTTTCCGGATTTAGCGGATTCTCGAAGTGGTTCATACTTTACTCATATATTTTTAAATAAATTTATAAAGAAAAAACTACAAATGAATTATATTCGCATATATAATATAAATTTTCTATTTTTAATAACAATATCGAAGCGATTAATTGCGATGTTAAAATTAGCTGCAATAATAACGACAATAGTAATGAAACTGAGAAAAATTTTTTAAAGTACCAACTTCTTGCGAGAAACCCTGTTGAGATTCACAAGCAAGAGTATCTCTATTTGTGAAACTCATACTGGTATTGGAAATAAAAAATACTCGAGCATTCGGAGCATAAGTTACAATATGTTAAAAGATTACATGTTTATAAAATAAATAAAATATATAATATAAATGTTAAAAAGTGATCGATAAATACATAATAAAAAAAGAATACGTTTTGTTTTTTTATCGAAAAGTGTTGTACTTATTTGCCACAAAATAAATAAATGTTTGATAATTAAATATAATTATATATTGTATTGGTTTTTATTTCACGGAAAGAGTACATTTATCAATTCGTTTCTTTTTATTTCTCCTAATCTTTGTAATAAGTTATGCAAAACGCAACAAGATATAATAAATTTTGATATTTTATCAACAGTATGCAGATCTACTTCAATTAGTTGTCGAAAACGACCTTTTAAAAGCCCAAACGCATTCTCGATCAATACTCGAGTTGCACAAAACCGTTTATTGAATTTTCGCTGTTTATAAGATAGATTTCCATAATCTCTAAAGGGAGTCATTAACCATTCCCTTATAGGATAAGCAGCATCTCCCAATATAAAAAATTTGCCTTGTTCACATATTCCTGGTAAATCTTCATAAATATCCGACAACTTCAGAACACGTGAATCGTGGATCTTTCCTGGAATACCAGTAAAGACATCGACGAATCTTTTACGAGCATCGCATATACCTTGTAATGTTATTGATGGAATATCGTGCCTGTTTACATAGGTTGATTTTATTTTCTGTGCTGGAGTTTGTATTTTAATCGACGTACCATCAATGCAGCCAAGCACTTTAGGAAAACCTGTAATCTTAAAATTATATTTACTTTATGGAATTAAATTTTATGTTTACTTCATGATTTATTTATTTATTTACTTATTTATTATTTATTAATTAATTTATTTATTTACTTTATTTATTAAAAAAACTTAAAGAAAAAATTTCAGCAAAATTGGTTGAGGATTGGAGGAGAAAAACGAGAAATAAATTTCGCCGAAAACGCCGAAAAAATAGCACTTTATACACTCTTTAACAGTAATGATCACGAACATATTTATATTATGACTCTTTTGATGAAAATCAGAATGTATTTCGAATATAAATCGAGTG